TTGGTAGCAATGACTCGGTCATCATCAGCCTTACTTGGAAACAATAACTCGGTCATCATTCGTCTTACTTGGTAGCAATGACTCGGCCATCATTAGCCTTACTTGGAAACAATATCTCGGTCATCATTAGCCTTACTTGGTAGAAATGACTCGGTCATCATCAGCCTTTCTTAGTAGCAATAACTCGGTCATCATTAGCCTTACTTGGTAGCAATGACTCGGACATCATTAGCCTTACTTGGTAGCAATGACTCGGTCATCATTAGCCTTACTTGGTAGCAATGACTCGGTCATCATTAGCCTTACTTGGTAGCAATAACTCGGTCATCATTAGCCTTACTTTGTAGCAATGACTCGGTCATCATTAGCCTTACTTGGTAGCAATGACTCGGACATCATTAGCCTTACTTGGTAGCAATGACTCGGTCATCATTATCCTTACCTGGAAACAATAACTCGGTCTCTTGACCGATATCACGGTTGTACTTCTGAAGCACACGTCCATTGCCTTCACTTCTGACTTAACGTTTCTACTCACAGCCGCCCGTGTGCGGGCCACTACACGGCCCACATGTGCTCACCACACTGTCACTCCATCCAACACAGGCGACTGCCCAATACAGCAAGACCAAGATGAGTGTGGAGGACTTTGGCGCGTTTGAGCCTGCGTTCTCACGCGTGTACATGGTATGTTGCTGCTACTTAGTGGATGTGAAGCCAAACTCGGTAGCGTGTACATGGCATGTTGCTGCTACTTAGTGTATGTGAAGCCAAACTCGGTAGCGTGTACATGGTATGTTGCTGCTGCTAAGTGTATGTGAAGCCAAACTCGGTAGCGTGTACATGGTATGTTGCTGCTGCTAAGTATATGTTAAGTCAAAATCAGTAGCGTGTACATGGTATGTTGTAGCGTGTACATGGTATGTTGTTGCTGCTTCGTGTCTGTGAATCCAAACTCAGTAGCGTGTGACGTGTGCGACATCGCGCCAGCGCGCATTCGTATTGGCGGTGGTGTGAAAGGGCTGTACCACTACATACACAGTCACACAAAATGAACAACCACACAACACCACATGAACAAACACACAACACCACATGAACAACCACATGAACAACCACATAACACCACACGAACAACCACACAACACCACATGAACAACTACACAACACCACATGAACAACCACACCACATCACATAACAACTACACAACACCACATGAACAACTACACAACACCACATGAACACCCATA